CCTTTCTTTCTTTCCTTTCTTTCTTTCTTCATGCTTACAGAACTGGGGTACAGACCAGAGGTGTGATGCGTGAGAGGATTCACCAGAGATAGCATGGGGAGCAGAACAGGCAGATCTACTGAAATACACTGCTGAGGGGAGCAGCAGGCAGTTCAGGACAGGTCCAGCTCCCTGGCAGGGGACTGAAGTCATGCCATGTGGCAGTGGCTTCAGAGAGCTTCATAATGTGGTGCTTTAACCTGTTGCACCACCAGGGAGAGCCCATGTAACTCCTTTTGCCAACCAAAATTTCAGGTTGGTTGGACCTTCCAGAGATTTTACAACCCCCCTCTCATCATCTTCCCACCCTCATTGTCACATACTAGTAGAAAAGAAAGGAGCTGGGGGCAAAAGTACCCACTGTTCAAAGAGGCGCATCCCATGCCCCTCTAACAAGAAAAGACTCTAGGCTGGCCATAAGCCAGGCACAAAATTCTAGTAGCCACAAATCAAAGTGCTTGCCACTAGGTAAAACGATCTCTTCCTGAAGATATGAAATACCTCTACAAATGGGGACCCAGCATCAACAACTCCAGTAGAGGGCCTAGAATCTAGATATCCAGTTCATAAAATTCCTTTAGAAATTCCCACACATTTAAGCCACAGATTTCAATTCTGAGCCTCCTAGTGTCCATGGCAAAAAGGGAAATGTCATGTTAGATAAGCCACATTATCCACTCAGGAAAAACACCAATTTCCCAGTAGGAGGACACAGCTCTTTCTGGCATTGAAGTGGAATAGAAAGTCCTTATCTGTTTTTCACCTACCTTGCATGAATAGGACATGGAAGGGAAAATGGACTCTTCATTTTAATAAATCTCATGATAAATTTTCTATCTTTTCTTTTATATTCATTGATGTAAAATTAAAACACATTCATTGGTGTAAAATTAAGATTACCACATTCTAGTATAAATTAAGAACAGTAATTCCATCCATCAAATATCCCATAGAGTCATCATTGGTAACATTTTGTACAGCCTTTAGGGATGATATATATGTGTCTGTATATGTGTGTTGTACACACTAAAACGTGACCCCCAGAAAGAGTTGGGAGCTGCCAGTTTCCCAGGCAATGAGGGACTTGGTGAGGTGAGCTGGAACACCTGAGGTGAAAGCCCTGGCTGAATTATTTTCCTTGGGACAATGCTCTCGAACTTGAATGTACATCAAAGTCCCCCATAGGGCTTCTTGACACACAGAAGAGCCACCCCATCCCTGGAGGATCTGGTTGAGTAGGCCTGGGTGAGCTCATGAAGGTCCAGCTCTAATTACTTGTCCGGTGATGCTAGTCCAAGGGCCCCAATTTAAGAATTATGTGAGGTTTGTAGCATCCATTTCCACAGGCACTAATCTGAGCCTACAGGAAGAGAAACAGTGTCAGTCCCTATAAGTCCCTGCTCCTTCCAATACTTGTGACCTCATTATTGCCCCCTCAAATGGAATCCTATCCCGTAACACAGAGATGACTTGTGGGGTCCCTACCATATGAGCAGAAACCCCAGTCATTGTCTGTCTTCCCAGGCCTTCTTCACTGAAGAGTACACCAGGACCCACCCCGAGGACCAGGACAAGCTGAGCCGCCTCAAAGACCTGATTGCATGGCAGGTAAAGCAGAGCTGGTCTGGGGGCAACCCTCCCTTTCTCTCCCCAGTGGGTTCAGCTTCACTTGCCCTCAGGGATCCTCTGCCTGGCAGACAGTTTGGTTTCCCTGTGCCTGGGCTTTTGTCTCTCCTGCCTCTCCTTCTCACCTAAGGGGGCACCTCCTGTGATCTGGATGGGCACACGGCACCCAAAAGGGCTCTCAGGCCCCTGAATTCTGTGCTGCCATTGCCAAGAGTGCTTTATGCGATGTCAAGTTCAGGAGGTATTTTTTTCCAGTGGGACTAGGCCCCCACACCTCCACCACCACCTTCCCCTCACAGCCAGCAGGCGCCAACCAGATCATAGAAGACACCAGCCCCAACTCTCCTCCTCCTAAGCCTGACCCAGTTTATTGCAGATAATGTCAGATGGATATCAGGTTCGGAAAATAATTGAGGCCTTTATTTGGTTGGTGTTGGGTCAGAGGGCCTGCGTTCAGCACGAGCTGCTCGGCCCTCTGGAGCCCTGCCAGAGGACTTGGAAGCAGCTCCTGCAGCCTGCTGCTGGCTGTTGTGGTGGGCTCATCTTCTTAGATCCCTTCATTCCATGCACCCTTGTCTCTGCCCCCCTCCCCTGCTTCCTCTGGCTATCTCCTGTGTTTCTCTCCCTCCCCTCTCCCGTTCTCCCCTTCTCTAGGTCTCTTGCTCACCCACTTTCTAGAAAAGAAAACAATCCACCAGACCACCCCATTCCCACCCTGCTCAGGAGCATCAAAGGACCAGCCTCCCCTCTTCTTAGATAACTCCCTCCATGAACCCCAACACCCAGAACACAGGCTTCAAAGTACTGGGGCTGGAGGGAGGTAGGGTGGAGAAGGGGCAGCAGTTTGCAGCTGCCTGTCCTCCTCCCTCTCTCCCTTCTTGCCAGTCACTGTGCAAAGAAAAGCAAGCTATTGTGGTGGGAAGTTTTTGTTACTCCAGGGAAATCAGGGAATGAGAAGCATTGGGTGCAGCCTCCTTTCTTAAAATAAGGATTCCTAATTCAGGTCCTTCTCTGCCTCTGTCAATTTATGCAAAGTGAGGCTTTAAAAATGAAACACCAAGCACGGGTCGCACAGACACACTTTCTGAATGCATCTTGTGGGTCTGGAATTTTCTCTCCCTTCTTACCTTGTGCAACCTGTGAAATTCAAATATTCCCAAGATCTCCATCCTTCTGAGGTCAGCATGACCTTTAAGAGTCAATGACATTCCTCCTCAGACAGCAGGAAGACCCAACTCTGATTAATTCCCTTCTTCAGCTATTTCTGGGTGCCCCAGAGAAGGTTAACATGTAATAAAAATTTGTTTATTGGTTGGTGTCTCCGTCCATATCACAGCCCTGCATCTCCACTGTGGGTGTCTCACACCTGGTAATTAATTCTCCATGCTATGCCCACCACACCCAAAGCATGGACCCTGGCCTCAGCATATCTAATACCAGGCCATGCCTTCTAGGAAATTCTGCCAGTGGAGGAGCTAATGGAAGGTCACTACAAACAAGAAGGAAGAATTTGAGAGCAGATACTAGGTGTTACAGCTTCCCTGTCATTAGCAAGGCTTCTTCAGACAGCACCTCCTAGTGGCTCCCTTTCCCCATCACACGCCTTTCCCCCTATTCTCTGCCACCATATTGTATCACCGCTCAACTTCTCAAAGGAGGTTGCTCTGAGCCGTGTCCCTCCTGTTCAGAGACAGGCATCCTGACTATGGGCACACTTAGAAAATGCTACCCTACCCTGCTCATGATGCAAGCAGCCTTCTCACATTATCACACTCAGCAAATGAATTCTTCCACACCTATTGCATTGATTCTTGCAACTTCCTTTTAATTGCATCCTAACTCTGTGTCAGGCAGCAGAACATAATGCTGGACAAAATTGGACTCATTCTCTATCTTCTTGGATCTAGGTTGGAGCTTGATTTTGAAAAGCCAAATACACTTTGGATTTTTTCAAAACATGAGAACTGTAGATTTCAGAGGGGGATATATTTGCACCTCATCTAGCAACCCAACAAAAGCTAAAGTTTACAGAGAGAGGTGCCTTATGATGGAGGGGTGTCCTGTCCAGTATGGGGCCCTGTCTTGTGTTCTCAGTTGTTAGGAGAGGCCCTGCCCCCCTGAGATCCTTCGCTAGAATAAATAGGTTGGAAAATAAATGAGTGAATGAATGAATGAATACAAATAATTATGGAGTATTTCAAGTAATTTGGTTCTATTTTTATTTTTAAGATTTATTTATCTATTTATGAATAGAAAAACTGGGGTATAGGCCAGAGGTGTGAGGGGAGAGTATTCACCAGAGACAGAGTGGGAGGCAGAACAGGCAGATTGACTGAAATAGTCACTGCTGAGGGGAGCAGGTGGTGAGACAGGAAAGATCTGTTTCATCATATGTGGGTCAGCTTCCTGACTGGGGGTGAGAGATTGAACTCAGGGCTTTGTGGTGATAGCACTGTGATTTAGCCCATAGGCCACCAGGTATCCCCCAAGTTGAGTTTTTATTTACAAGTTTGGTAATATTTTTGTGACCATAAATATGTTATAGGAACCTAACAATTGTTTATGTCAATTAGTAAAATTGTTTTGGGGTGCACTGTTTTGCTTAAAGACAACATTTCCAGAACCTATTTATGATGCTGAGGACTTATTATACAAACTTCCTCAATGGTTCCCTCTAGTGGTAGGGAGATATGGCTACTCTCCTGTGTCTACCATTTAAATAGGGCCCAAGGACCTCCTTTTGCAGGAAACTGAAAAGTTAACCCCATCATATCTGTCCCTCTCCCTCACCTTCCTAAGGTTTTACGACCCTTTTTCAGGCACTATCTGAGCCTCCACATGGAGTATGACTCGACCTCTCTTACCATGAGAGGAGACTTTCCCTTTCACCTCATTCCTTCTTCAGTCTCCCAAATTCTGACATCCATACTTGCCATTTAGCAACACCAAGAACTTCTTGAGGAAGGCTTTAGTCAGAGGAACAGAGATTCCTCCCTTCTGCTCCCTACTCTGCCCCACTATAGCTTCTACAAGAGCGCACTTTGAGGCTCTAATGGGAGATGCAACCATCTGTGGAGCAAGAACAGCTAGAGGTCTCCCCCCCCTTCATGAGCAACCCCCAGGTTGCAACTTCCTGTTTTCTAGGGCTGGGAGCTCTGCATGAAGGTCTCCGAGGACCCTAAGGCCCTCAATGACTCCTCAGCAGGCAGATTAGACTCAGCCGCCTGAATAGGCTGTGTCCAGGCCAAGGCCAGGTGGCCAGACTCTGGCTCATCACTTACCACCTTTGTCTCCAGATCCCCTTCCTGGGAGCTGGGATTAAGATCCATGAGAAAAGAGTATCTGAAAATCTGCGGCCCTTCCATGACCGGATGGAAGAATGTTTCAAGAACTTGAAAGTGAAGGTGGAGAAGGAATATGGTGTCCGAGAGATGGTAAGGCTGTCCCTGTAAGCCCAAAGGAGTGAGATGGTGGGGCAGGGCAGAGAGGATAGTGGCCATGGGGACCACAGAAGACGAAACCCAGCACAGAAGACGAAACCCAGCACAGCAACCTGCCCTCCTGCAGAAGGACCTGCAGACCAGCATCAGGGATCAATGCAGAGAAAACTTCATTGTCACGTGGTCCCCCAAAAGTCACCCTCCATAAACTGCAGTCACAAATTGAGCCCTTACCACTCAAGGGACCCTGTTAAGAATATAAGCTACATTGATGAAGCATTGGCTATGTGCCTGGTTGCTAGAAGCACTGGTTGCTAGGACATCTCCTAGATGCCCTTGACATCTCCCAGAACACGCCTGGGAGGTGGGAGCGATCTTGGTTCCTTGTGTCTCTTCTGGGGGTTCAGAGGTCTTAAGTGACTATGAAAGGCTGCACAGCTCTGAGAGCAGGTTAGAATATGGACTTGGCTCTGCTGGTCTCCAAGCCAGTGTTTTTGGTCACCGCACCTACAGAAAGCACTGGCCTGGTGCTCACAGGGACAGCTTCTTTCTCTTCTTCCCCACAAACTTTAGTCCCCAAATGTCAAGCCTGCACAGGTCCTTAGAGATGGGCCCAGTCCTCTAGCTTACAGATGGGGAAGCTGATACCTAGAGTGTGGAAGTATGTTGCTAAAAGTGCCTAGAAGTAGACCCCAATCTCTTGTCTTCTGATACTAGAGTGTTCCCTTGAGACAGACTGCCTCTTCCAAAGCACCCTCCATGATACCCTTATGCAATCTGACCTTAGCCACCCAGAGGTGGGTCAGATTTCACGGAATCCACAATATTCCCCTCACTAAAGACACCAGGGTTCCCAAGCCACCTGCCCTTGTCATCGGTGTTTATAGAGTGAATATTCTCAACACCTCTCAGAGTTGATAATTCCACAGGCCTCAAGAGAGCACTATTCTTATGACTACATAAGGGATACAAACCAGGACCAGCCAAATGAAGAGATGGGTGGGTCTGGGTGGGTCACAAACATTAACTTCTGTGGCCTCAGGAGAGGTCATCCCGCTGTCCCCACCAGCACATCATGTATGATTACTGACCAGGAAAGCTGGCCTGAGCCCAGTGTCCTCAGTTTAATTGGGATTCAGGTGTGGCTGGGGGAGTCACTTTTATGTGATAAATATCCATCTATAGCCCCTTCTCTTCCCCGGAGGTTGAGTTAATCTCATTCAGTTCAAAGCCCAGCCCTGTAATCAATAAGTGGGTCTTTCTGCGTCTCCTGAGCCTTTTCATTAGCATGAGGGGCCACCAGGAATAACCAAGACACTCCCATCACCAGGGAAATTGCAAGGATGTAGTGATCACTACCCATGACCAGGAAGCAGTGCCAACCCAAGTCTTCATTAAACTGCTGGGAAGCTTTTGTCCTGACACCCCACAGCTCCGCCTGCCCAGGTGGAGGGAAAGGTAGCAGGAAGCTGGAGGTCACCTCCCCCCACCTTCTGGCCTGCTCTCAGCCTAATGACTGCTAACGCTGGGCTCTCCCACCCACAGCCTGACTTCGAGGAGAGGCGCGTGGGCATGGGCCGCCCGCGGTCGATGCTGCGTTCCTACAGGCAGATGTCCATCATCTCTATGGCATCCATGAACTCTGACTGCAGCACCCCCAGCAAGACCACCTCAGAGAGGTCAGTCCCCGGCCCAGGCAGCCCCTGGTCCAGCTCCCACCAAAATGTCACTGCTTTTCCTTCTGTCTTAGCTGTTGCCTCAAATCCTCCCAGCTCTCTCTATCAGAATCTCTCCCACCTTTCCTCACTGAACCCTCACACCCACCCCAGAGTGCCTCACTTCCTAAGGCCATCTCTGGGGATCACTGCAGCTGGGGCAGGCCAGGTGACTTTGCCTGAACACCAGCAGGCCCTGCCCACAGTCCCAGGATGCCCAGTCCAACGACTCTGTGGCCAGACCTCACACAGCCTGCATCATTCTGGAACCTGTCTTGGCCCAACTCAAAGCAACCCCCCTGAACCTTCCAGACCTCTTTTGGGGTCCTTTCTCCCTCCTCCTAAGAAAAACCTGCCCTTCTACCTTCCTGGAACTTCCATGCCACTCTGTGGTAACAACAGGTGACACGGACCAGCACACTCCAGGGGCCCAGAATGTGTTAGTGGTTCTCAGACCTCATCTCAGGCCACACTGCAAGGGCGCTGTACCTGTCCTCATTTACTGAAAAGGAAATAACAGCTCAAAGAGTTTGAGTGACTTGCCCAAGTTGATTCAGCTCAAAGGTAGCAGTCTGGACTTGATCCAGGTGCATGAATTTATCCACCCTTCTTGTTTCACTACCAAGTCTTTCCTTTTTATGGTTCTCCTCCAGCAATTTAACTTAACGTGTGCTTTGAATATTTGCCAAGTCAGCAAGTCACTTCCCAAAGAGCCAGTTTAACTGAACTGCCTCCTCTATAGTGACAGCTTGGACATGGCAGTCCTGCGGAAGCTCTGACCACAGTTTCTACTGCTGTCCCTCTTGCTCTCTAGCTTTGACCTGGATGTAGCAGCTCCCAAGACTCCAAAAGTGGAGTCAGAGGACCCCATCTCCCCGGGGAGCACACTACCAGAGGTCAAACTACGGCGGTCCAAGAAGAGAGCCAAGAGGAGCAGTGTGGTGTTTGCAGACGAGAAGGCGGCAGCCGAGTCAGACCTGAAGCGAGTAAGTGGCTGCCTCCTGATAACCTTACTAAATCTCAGCTGCACCTTGGCACTGTTCGGGGCCCAGAGGCATGGTCCCAGTCAAGCCCCACTTTCAAAATGAAGGCCTGACAAAGCCAGAATCTGAACCCAGGCAGTGAACTCTATGAGCGTCCTCCCTAGCATTGCACAGGGCTTTGCAAAGCTAGGGAGTAGCAGCTGGCTTCTCCCACTGCAGGAGAGCGGCCTTGCAGGTGGGGGATTTCTGTCCCCAGCCCCAGGGTTATTTGAACCCCCCTAGGCTCCATTAAGCTTCTCAGTGTCCAGGAGCCTTGCCAGGCCACAGTGCCCTAACATGGGGGACTTTCATCTTGTAAATGAATAGCTCTTAATAGAAGTCTTGGAACCAGACAGCCTTGTGTTCATCTGCCTCTTCCCTAAAAGGGAAGTTTGTAGAAAGGGCTCCAGGAGTCTCAGAAGAGGAGAGGGATTAACTGAGAAGGAAGGAATGTCAGCTGAAAGGACAAAGGGCCATCGGGAATGCCTTGCTGTGCAGAAAGGAACCTCTACAAACTACACAGGGTCCACAGAGGCTACTCTTGCCAGGGGAGAAAAGCTGGTGATAAGTCTTTTGTTTCACAGTCCTAGAGGGTCATTTGCCTAACACAACCCCTGGAGTTGTACATGGCAGACAGACATCGAATGGAATGATACAAAACAGAATAAATGAATTTGGAGTTGGGTCCATGGAAGCCATGCCAAGCTCTCATCACTGACTTTTCAGGCCCTGAGCTGCCTCATAATAAGCTTCTCTGTGCTGTGTATATGGGTGCATGTGTGCATGTGTGCATGTGTGTGTGTATGTGTGTGTGACGTGATGTGATGTCTTCATCCAGCTTTCCAGAAAACATGAGTTCATGAGTGACACCAACCTATCGGAGCACACAACCGTCCCTCCCAGGGCCTCCATCCTGTCTCAGATGAGTTTTGCCAGCCAGTCTATGCCCACCATCCCAGGTACGCATGCTGCCACCACCAGCACGGGGGATAAAGCCAGTGTGGGCACCACTGGGAGGGTGGAGGATGGTAAAAATCATGTCCACAGGAGGTCAGGGGTAAGAGCCTCTGCTCACAGCCCCCCATCCTCTGTTTCTCCTGACAACCTCTGTGGGAATGCAGTTACCCACACGTGGGAAGCAGAGGCCTCTGTCACCCCGGTCCTCAGGAGCCGCTGGGACTCCATGGTCACGTCAGGTGGCCTGGGTTCTAAGTTTGTCCAGCCTCCAGATCTCTGAATCTGGTATGTTCCAAAGTCCTCTTTTGGGACCTGCAAGACTACTTCTAGACCTTCTGGAAACTGCCACCACACCTTGGAGTGGCAGTATGTCTCTTTCCCACCTCTTTCATGTCCGGCGGGAGGTCTGCCTCTAGAGAACAAACGCTCTGACTGGGCAAGGGGCTCCCCCAGAGCTCCCAGGCGGCACACAGCCACTCGGCCCAAGCTCCAGGGTAGAGAGCCGGGACTAGCCTCATGCCCTGTAGAATGGGCAGGCTGTTCTCACGCCGGAGTGCAGACTGGGGCCGCCCTGTGCTAACTGCTCCTCCTTCCTGGTTTCGGTTACACTCAGCTCACAGTCATGAATGAGCTCATGTTATTTCCCTATCACATAGACCAAGAAGCCAGGGAATACTGGGTTCAGAACCAGGTCCCCCCATGTCTTTAACCAGACAGAAGAGCCCGACACAGCCCCCAGCTAGTTCACTCTAATGTCTCACTTGCCCCCCACACAGACACACCACCCGGAGGCCTGGGTTCTTACCTGCATTTTACTAATCAGAGAGATGGCTGATTTCTCCAGCCTGTTGGCTCTGGGCTAGGGGCTGCAAGCACCAGTGACTCCCCTCCCCACCAGCCCTGCCTTTGGGGAAAACTGAAATCCAGGTTCTTAGTGTTGGAAGGTAAAAAGCAATAAACTGATGTTGTCGCCACATCATGAGGCAAAAGGCCACATTCCCTGAGGGAATCAGGGCCCCAGGGGCCAGGAAGTCTTCATTCCCTTGGACCCCTATTTCTAACCCAGAATCCCGGAGGCCCAGCGCCATCTGGGGTATTTAGAAAGTCTCACAGAGAAGGAAGCTTTAATAGCCACAGCAAGCAAGAAACAGGCCTCCCTGCTTCCCACTTGGTACCTGACCTGCTCTCCCTAGAGTCTGACTCTGTCCCAGGCCTGTCAGCCTGCCTCCTCTGCTCTTGGATGCTGTCTATCCCACCTGCCCATTCAGCATTTGTCCACTGTCCCCCAGCCCTTGCGCTCTCCGTAATAGGTATGCCTGGCATGGACGAGGCCAGCTCATCTTCCCGTCTCAGCCAGACCTTCCTCTCCATCTCTGAAGGTGACAAGAAGACTCTCAAAAGAAATAAAGTAAATCAGTTCTTCAAGACCATGGTGAGGACCCAGATGGGTGGAAGGGGGTTGGGGTGGGGAAAGGGAAGAGAACAAAGGAAAGAGAAGAGAAAAATGAAGAGTAGAAAATGTGGGGTGTGTGTGTATATGTGTTCATCTGTGCTCCCCCCAGGAGGCATGGCCAGGGCCCTGGGGTTGAGCCACTGGCCTGCAAAGCCCAGAATGCATGACCACTCACCTTCTGGCCAGGACGGGCCCCTGCTGTCTGCCAGAATGTGCTAAGGGGCTGCCAAACCCCTGGAGCCCAGGAACCAGTTGCTGTCCTTTGCCTAAATTGCCCTTCCATGTTCCTGCCAGAGCCACAGGGCTGGCTGCCTTTACAGGATGATGAAAATGCTTTTCAAAGTTTTTTGGAGGCACTTTCCTATTCAACTTATATTACAAAATCCTACTAATTAAAAGCTTGTGTCCGAGCCCAGACTTTTCAAGTCCCATCTCCTATTGTTACTTCTCAGTCTTTGCTCAAGATAAAGAAGAGACCGTTGACACTTTTGATCCTCAAAATGATCTTAAAGCAGAACGCTGCTACTATAATAAGGCAGAGTTTACCACCATCTCGCAGCGAGCCAGAAACCATGCCGGGGTACTCCAAACATCACCCCCACTGATCTTCCGCTATCCCTGTGGGATGTTTTTGTTTTTGTTTTTTTATAAGATTTATTTATTTATGCGTACAGAACTGGGTGCAGGCCAGAGGTCCAGGGCCCATGAGAGGATCCACCAGAGACAGAGTAGGGAGCAGAACAGGCAGATCAATAAAGTACATTGCTGAGGGGAGCAGTGGGCAAGACGGGAGGTCTGCCACACCATGTGGATCATCACTGGACCGGGGATCAAACTCACACTGAAGCTACTGCTGCTAGCTTGCAGTGCTGAGCTTTAACCAGCTGCACCACCAGTGAGGGCCCCCTGTGGGGATTTTATAGGGCTCCTGAGTCAGGTTCTGTGGCAAAGCCTGCGCGCTGACCACTGTGTGCTCTAGCCTTTCTGGCCACGCTCAAGTCATGGTAACTCGTGTTCTCTGGGCTTCGGGCAGAGTTCACAGAGGGCCCTGGTGATGGACTGTGGTGCTTGTGATAAACTCAGCTGGGGTATGTTTGTTTATTCTTTTCTCTTACAAAGCTGGCCAGCAAGACTCCTGAAGAAGCTAAGCAGGTGTCTGAGCTGCCACCCACTGACCTGTGAGATGCTGCTACCAGGGCTGTTTATGGGAGCCAGGGAGAGAAGTTGCCAGAAGAGGGGAGGCACAGAGAGACATTGAAGCTTCCAAGAGTTGGGAGGCCCCTCCCATACCCCTTCACTCAGACAGAGGACACAGAGGGGCTGATCAATGTCCCAGAACCTGAGTGTTACCCACCTTAGGGGCTGTGACTGAGGTGGTGAGGACCCTGCACCCCGATTCTTGCCCACAGGAGGAACCAGCCCGACGACTGTCTCCCATCTGCTCTCCCCAGCATCCGAGGCACATCCTTTTATAGCCCAATTTCTTAAGCCTAAAGTGCTGTATTTTTATTTCATGTTCTAAAGGTTTCAAAAACCTTTTAAATATTCTTTTATTTTATTTTTGGTTAACAGTTTTTATCCTTTCCATTTTTTTCAATACACCAACTATTCTTTACTCTAGATGATTGTCTTCTACATGTTGTTATTACTTACTGACAATAAAAAAAAGTTTCCCCAAACCTCGTAGCATCATTTTGTTACTGAACCTCTGAGGTCCATATTGGCCAGGGCATCCTTGGAACCCTGAGCAGACAGGTCGGGGCCAATGGTGATGCCAAAACACCTAGCTGTTCCTAGGCCAGGTTTCCTGTCTCCTCTGGACCACCCCAAGAAACTTCTCCACAGTTCCTGTCCCTTAGGGGTGGAACACTGGGGTACAGGGAGGCCAGAACATCTACCAGAATCTTTCTTCTGCCACCTGTATGGTGCAGAGCTTCAAGCCCGCTTTCTCCCCTTCTGGAAAGAGATGCCCAAATCACCCACAGTGGTCACTCTGATAATGGCCCCAACTAAAGGCTGAAGACTCAGGGGCTCCAGTAGACTGAAGGGCCAGCCTTTGGCATTGTCATTGATTGGTTCAGAGGAGCAGCTTTTCCTGGAAAAGTCCACAGGGGTTTCAGAGTAACCCCAGGCAGAAGAGGGGTTGGGAGCAGGACCCTCTTCAGCCTGCAGGGAGCCTGAAGGGGAGAGAGTTTGGGGAGGGAAGCAGCTGGGTAGATTTTAGAAGCAGGTAGTGACATGGGGTGAGAAATGGATGAGTGCCCACTTTTCAAAGGCTGTCACTGGGGATGGTAAAGGATGAGAGATAAAGATAGCAGTGTGACTGTCCCTAGCACAGTGGCCTAGGCCTGACACGAATTACTGTTCTAAATCCCGATGGCATCCTGTTGGGTCCTTTGTCTGGACAGACCTCCCCACCTCCCCCACAGAATCATATGCACACTGTTGTGTGGAAACAGAAAGAATGAGCCATGGGTGCTGGAACAGAAAAACAGGAGGCCCGAAGTGTTCCTGCCTTGTGTTTACTGCCTTGTGTTTACGTGACTGTTCTTTGACCCCCATGTTATTGTCGCATGTTATTGACGCACTTGCTGAGAGCTTCCGCCTCCCCCCAGCCCCAGGTTCCATGCTGAAGGGTATAAATAGGGAAGGAGAGAAAAATAAAGTGTGCTTTTGCTTGCTGACCATGAAGTGTGTGTTTTAATCCTGACGTCCTTCGCTCAGACCATCTCTGCTGTCGTGCTGATGCGGCAGCATCCCAAGGAGGTAGGTAGGGTTATTGCCCATTTGAAGAAACTGAGGCACAGAGGTGTGATGTGGCCCAGAGGCATGAGGCGGGAGGAGGAGAGGCTGAACTTCCAATCCAGGCAAACTTGCAGGAAGCCTTCTATCCCTATCCTGCTTCTGCTCAGACACTTCCTGCTCAGGCAACCTGACCCCAGGAGCCTCCTGGTGTCTAGTCTAATCCCAATGTCCTCTCAGTCCAGCAAGTCCCATCAAGTGAGGTTTAGGGACTTGGTCACCTCGTGGTTCTCTAACGAGTCAGCACCTGTGTCTGAAATCCAACTGATTTTACTTTCCAAAGGGTTGAGGAAAGTACCTGGGGGCAGAGGAGTCACCCCACAGGGAAGAGGAGTCACCCCACCGGGCCGCTTCCTGAATCCCCAAGTGTCCTTATCCTCCTCCCCACCATCCTCTGTTTCTTTCCTATCCAGGTCATAAATGCCAACTTCTCAGGCCTGATTTCTGTCCATGGAAATCCTAAAGTTGAGTTTGAAATCTATGAACATCTTTGAAACCCTTGTGGAAAGGGTTTCCCACAACTGCAGAAAAACAGATACAATCCTATATCCCACAACTGCAGAAAAACAGATACAATCCTATATCCCAACACAATAAATGTGATTTCTCACCAAGGTGTGGGCTTCTGGGGAGCAGGCTTAACCTCAAAAATTCCACCTCTCCAATCTTATCACTTGCCTGTGTCTGGCCCTCGTAATGACAGTGTTGAGCTCCATTTTATGAAAATTGTCTGTGAGCTTTGTAGGAAGTCTGAAGGGACCTTGGGCAGGTCTCCCTTTTCCCATAAAAATGGAGCAAACCACAAGCTTCTTATTTGAGTTGAGAGTCGGATCTCATTTCAGGTAAGACATCATTGTGGGGATGGTTCACTTGGCCCTTGGCCAGGAGAACTCGAGCTGCTGAGGTGACAAGCCCTGGCCTTCAGGCCGATGGTAATCACCAGCTGCGACAGTCACAGAGCTGTCACTAACCGGCTGCTTACTCTAAGCACCGCTCCTGAAATCCTCTCATCAGTTTGATAAGGTAGATATGAAGGTCCCAACCATGTTGATGTGTAAAGTCCCACTGAGAGAGTTGGTGTTGTGCCCTGGCCAGCAGGGACACAGCCAACTCTGTCCACTTCATGGCCTGAGCCCCCATGTTCCATTCATTTCTTGCCTTTGATCACAGCTCATTGTCATTGAAACATGCCTGTTTCAAATGTCTCCCCTATAATGCCAGTGAGGGAACCCAGGAACAGTGAGAATGGACTGAAAGAGCTCTCCTGTTCCAATGGGTGTCCCTTTATTATAAGCAAGGCCTGTGCCAAACTTGTGAGTTGTGTCAAGGAGGGGTGTGCCTATGCCTTCAGATTACCCAGGGAGGGAAGGTGGGTAGGGTCAGGTGGGATGGGAGAAAGGGAGGAAGGGCCAATTTGATGTGTCTTTTCCTTTTTCCATTAGAGCTACAGGGAAGCATCAGAGACCATTCATCCAGATCCCTTATTGTATAGAATTAAATGGCTCATCCCTGACTACGCATCTGTGCCCCCTAGGCCCAAATCTCAGATTGGTCTCCTGGGTAACCCCCCTCAATGGCACCCCCTTATCCTGTCTTTAAGCATGCAGACACCCTGGCTTTCTGTTTTCTCTTCCTCTGCCTTTGAGACAGAACTGATATCTGCCATTCACATTTTAGTATGATCTAGAGCTTTGAGTTCCCTCTCCTTGAGGAAAGATCATTCTTAGCCTTATCTCTAAATGTAGAGCGGAAGCCTTCTTTTCTTTTCCTTGCAGACCTTCAGGCTTATGTCAGCAAGTAGGAGAGAAAGTGAGAGAAACAAATGATCTTTTCAGCATCTAAAACCAGGCTCCAGACACCCTAACCTATAACACATCCGTTTGCTGCTCCATCTGAACCCTGGATGCCTCTGTCTTCCTGTCATAGCTCCAGTTCCCAAGGAAACAGGCCCTTAGGCAATGAGTGAATGCTCAGGCTTTTTTTTGCACTGAATAGTCTAGGGTAGTGAGAAATGGTGAGAGGGAGCAGTGGCAGGTCCATGGCCCTGCAGAAGGGTGCCCTGCCCCAGACTCAGCGTCAGCCACTACAGCGGGCAGTTTGGGCACCAAGAGTTACAAAAGTGTCTCACCCTGTAGGCAGAGATCCCATATCTTTGGACCCATGCAGTCTAAACCTCTGCTTAAGTTCATGTGCTGACTGAAAGGAGCCCTGGGACCCCCAAACTCACAAGCTCTAATAGGGTAAAGTCAGTCATGCCCACAAAGACAAGGCTTAGTTCATGTGAAAGATCTTTCATAGATTAGTGTGCATAGAAAGAGAGGTGAAAGGATAATAGTTTCCAAATAAGCCCCCCAAAATCAGGCATTCCCCCACCAAGAGTAAATGCCCTTCCAAACAAGATTGACTCAAAACAGCCACTGAGGCCCAGAAGCTTGTGACGAGTCTAAGGCACCTCCTGGCAGGGAGCCATCCCTAAGGGGCAGAAGAGGCCAGGCAAGTCTGGGGCAGAGTGGCAAAATCAAAGCACACATCCAGACAACCGCTGCCACGGGCAGCCTCCCCGGGGGCTCTTTCAAGGGTCTTTACATTTCTAATCTCCAAGTATCTCCTCCAAATCCCGCATGTCCCCTGTGATGCTGGGAGACTGATTCCAGGGGCTCTGTGTGGTCCAACAAGAGTAGCTCCCCAGTTTGTAGTCCATGTTTTTATCTCACCAGAAAAGTCACAGATCAGTATCACAAATATCCAGTGAGTGAAATGATTGGCCCTGTCACTCAGCCTGGCAAGTCAAAATCCCTCCTCCTCCCCTACAGAATGTCTCGATCTCTCCCCTGTTAAAAGAGGATAGCCACGAAAAAAATGTCCATCCTCTCTTGTCCCCAGGGACCTGCATCTAAACCACAGTGCGGCCCCACCTCACTGCCACTAGGATGGCTGTCAGCCCAAACCCAAGAAACAAGTCCTGGCGAGGGTGTGGAGGGGAAGGAGCCCTCTCCACTGGTGGGAAGGTACATTGGTGCAGCCATGGTGTAAAACAGGATGAAGGCACCTCCAAAAGTGAAAAATAGAAATGCCACATGGCCCAGCAATTCCACTTCTGGCTGTATGTCTGAAAAATTCAAAAATGCTAGTTCCAAAAATATCTGCACCCCCATGTTCACTGCAGCACTATTCACAGTAGTGATTTTCAGGATAGGAATCACCCAAGTGTGCACGGCCGAGAAAGGTAGAAGGAAGATGTGGCCTGTATATTGGGTCACTATCAGCTATTTCCAAAAAAAAAAAAAATGCAACCTTGCCATTCCCCACACCACAGGTGGAATTTGAAGGGACTACGCTGAGTGAAATAAGACAGAGAACAGTAAATACCCTGCAAGATTTCACTCAAGTGGAAGATAAAGAAACGAAGCCAACACACAGACAAAACAAAAAAACTCCACACATTCTGACTACAGATGTGTGATCGCCAGAGGAGAAGATGATCAGGGGAGTAATTAGGTAAAGGGGTGACTGGGTGGAGGAGGATGGAACCTAGACTTTGAGGGGTGACACCATGGTTAGATGTGAAAGGGCAAAGCCATGTGCCTGAACAAAGACTTCTTCTAAAAAACAAGCAATTAACAAAAACCAAGACCAGATTTTAGCTGAAGAATGAAATGATCACCAAGAAGAAGCGGTGGGGTGGGGAAAATTAGAGAAAAGAGGTTTAGTTATATAGGGGCAGATGGGAAATAAACTCTAAGTGAGGCTTATAATGTCCTGTACACAGATGCCAGGTTATGGTGTTGTACAATTGAATGTTATGTCAATTAAAATAGTGAATAAGGCCCTCCCTGGTAGTGCAGCGGGTTAAAGCACAGCACTAAGAAGCTA